GTTGGGAGGAGAGCAGAAGAGGAAACTCGGTTCTTTTACTCTTAAAAAAAAATGCTCGTTCGCCACGGAGGCACAACTCTCTCCCTATTCATTCAAGATGCACTCCTGGCCCCTTCCTCAAAGGGTCTGGGGGACCTCCATCCACTGGAGGCTGCGTTCCTCAGTCCACCTGTCTGAAAGGACCTCCCAGGGGACAGAGGCAAACCTTCTGCCTAGTTAATCGGGAGCCTAACTTCAAAGGATGCAATTGCAAGGCCAGGCCTTTCATTTGTGTTCTGAGCCCTGGGACAAAGCTGCTGCCCGCCCTCAGGGCCACCAAAGGGTGCAGGTCCCTTCTTTGACATTCCCAGGACCACGGGGGAGCTGAAGGGGGGCAGGGGGTGCCTATGACCATTTGCCACAGCCAACTTGCGAAGGGGAAACTGACTGCAGGGCAAGAGTTACGCTAATATCAAAGACGTGGTGGAGCAAAATCATTAAAGGATGCGAAAGGAGGGAGAGAAAGGAAGCGTGAAGGACAAAAATTTAAAGTATTTTTTAAAATTAATTTTAAGGAATTAAATTGAATTGTTAAACTGCCCCGTGATGAGTTGGCCACGGCAAGTTGGCTGTGGGCAAGTTGTTCCGGAATTACACCACTCTGGAATCGGGGTGCGTATGTGCGTGCTTGTATATCTGTGTATCGTATTTTTTTTCAGTCCTCGGAGAAGGATCCCCCTTTGATCCTTCAGGCCGTCTCGTGAAAGTCGGCCCCTGTGTCTGTTCTGTCAGATGCCGCTTGCCAAAATGAACAGCCGTCATCCTCCCACCCTTCTTTCCTCGGCTGGTGACCCAGCCCACGCCCCTATTTTAAGAGACAGCTGCCCTCTCTGGTGTTGGTTTTTTTTTTCAAATGCAACAATCGCAGCCGAGTGCGGAGGCAGTCTCCCTCTGAGTAACAGCTGCTGAAGATAAAGAATGCCGGGTTAGGGTTATCACGGCCTAGGAATGCACATCTGTGCAGGTTTCTGGGAAGAAAATGCAGGATAAGCGCCCCTCTGGGCCCTGCTCTGACTCCTTTCAGCATTGCAACCGTCTCCCTGAGTTCTGAAGAGATGCTGGGCCATCCCCCCCAGCCCCCCCCCATGTGCAGCAATGGCTCAGCTCCCCGATTCACGTCAAAGGGAAGATTTTAGTTTCTTCTGGAGACCTCAAGATCTCTCCCTTCGCAGCTGGGCCCCGGGCGGGTGTCCCCCTTACCTCCCCGCATTCATGCTCTTCAGGGCTGGGTTTGGGTATTCTGGGTTTTCAATCACCCCTTCCCCAAACTTGAGCTCCAGGAAGCTGCGGTAGTTGTTGGGCGCCAAAGCAACGAAGCCGGCAAACTCGATGGGCACCAAGGGCTTTAAAAAGTGCTCGGGGAACTCCACGTCTTGCCGATGGTCCATCCAGGCGTCCTTGGTCATCAGGCCGTCCTTGGGGTAGAAGGGCCACAGGTCCACGTGCAAGTGGTTGTGCTCGCTGTACTGCACCCGGTAGAAGTCGCCCTCGATGGCCTTTTCCCAAACGAAGCCCTTCTCGTCCACGATGGAGCCCGATTCGGCGCTCCGGAGCAATTCGCAGTTGGGAATGTCCTCCAGGTAGATGCCCAGGTCCACGTCGTAATCCCAAGGGATGATGTCCTGGTGGCGGGCTGCCCCCAGGAGCGAGCCCCCCTCCAGCCAGTACCGCACCCCCGAGACTTCCAAGACGTTGACCACGTATTTGGCGGTTTCCCTCAGGGCTTTGAGGCAGCAGGGCGGCGTCCAGCGGTTCTGGTAGAGGTATTCCGGCGTGTCGTCCTGAATGGTGCCGAAGCAGCGCGGCGTCTCCTTGCTGCAGCCGAACCACTGCTGCTTGCCGTCCTCCAGAATCACCTGCTTGATGCCAAAATCCCGGAAGAGCTGCAGCCGATTGGCCTTGGCCAGGTTGTCGGCCTTCCACTGGTTGTGGGAGGAGGTGAGCAAGGGCTGGTGGAGCAAAGAGAAGGAGCGGTCCAGCACCCGGATGGCCCACCCGCGCAGGGAGCTCTGGATGAAGAGGGAGGTCAGCAGGGGCTTGGCCAAAGGCATGGAAAGGTTGAAGAAGCTCTTGGTGGGGAGGACCACCACGGCGGCCCCCTTCACGGCGGTGCAGAGCTTAGAGGCCGGGGGCGTCTCGCTGTACTCCGCTGTCCATTCCCTGAGGCTGACCTTGAGGTGGAGGCACCGGAAGGGCAGCAGGGAGTGGACTGGGGCTGCCACCATCTCCACTTTCCCTCCACTGCCCTTGAGTTCCTCCAGCAGCTCCTCCAGTTGAGAAGCGGAATCCACTCTCACCCCGTCAGGGACCAAGGCCACGTACTCGGTCCTCACGTAGGTCTCCGGCCTGGACACGTAGGCCGGCTGAGCCGGGGAAGGCTTGAGGATGACCAGCTGGACGTTGGGCACCTTGGGGAGAAGCAAAGGAGGGTAGGGCCAACTGTCGGCCACCACCAAGACGGGCAGCTCCGGATGCTGCTTCAGGAAAGACCGCACCACGCTGGGGACGTAGTTCTCGAAGTCTTCGAAGTCTCGGATGAGGATGGTCACGCCGGGGCGGAGGGTCCCGAGGTGCTGCGGGGAGCTGGGCTGGGCATGGACCCTGTGCCGCTGAAGGACGTGCTGCTGCAGCCTGGAGATGTAGTAGAGGATCAGCAGGTTAACGGCGATGGCGGCAGCCAAGACGCCCTGGCAGAAGGTGACGCGCATCTTGCAAGGTGCGGGCGGCTGCCGAGGGGTCCCGGCCTCTGGCCCACAGAGGGTCCTGCAACTCCAGACTTGTCCATCCAAGGCTGGTTCCTCTGGGAGGCAGAGAGAAGAAAAAGACAGACAAATGTTAGGAAAGATGAAGGGATTCAGGCTGCAGCCGGCCGGGACACGTTAAAGCAGGGGGTCTTCAAACTTGGCCCTTTGATGACTTGTGGACTTCAACTCCCAGAATTCCTCAGCCAGGCACGCGTGCCTGGCTGAGGAATTCTGGGAGTTGAAGTCCACAAGTCATCAAAGGGCCAAGTTTGAAGACCCCCTGCGTTAAAGGAGTTGCCCCAAATTACACTCTTTTCACGTGAACCAGCCTGGTGTCATGGTGGAGAAAAACCAGGGGGCAGCGAGTTCTAATGCTGCTTTAGACCGGGTGGCTTTGGGCCAATCGCCAGGCGGCTGGGACTTCTAGTTGTGCCTTAGCCCTGAAAGCTGGCCGGATGGCTTTGGGCCCATCCCTCTCTCTCAGCCCAGCCCACCTCACCGGGCTGTTGTTGCGGTGGGGGAAACAGGTGGAGGAGGGGAAGCCCTCGACTTACGACCGCAAGGGAGACCAGAATTCCCGTCGCTAAGCGAGGCGGCCGTTAAGTGAACGGCCAGGCTTTCCGCCACCTTTTTGGGGGCACCGTTGTGAAG